TCCAGGTGTGTGGTGTGTGTGTGTGTGTGTGTGTGTGTGTGTGTGTGTGTGTGTGTGTGTTTGTGTGTGTGTCCACTGTAATGTGGGGATATATGTGTGAGACAGCATGGTGAAATCGGGCGCTTGTCAAAATAATGAAATCAAAGAAATTGGGCATATTTCTGGCCTTTGGGCAATTTTTTTCTTATTTTCTTTTTTTTGGTTCAATGCCTTTTATATCCATTTAAAAACACATGTATGTGTGGATTTTACTGAAAAACATTGATTAAAGGCACAAAAAATATAAAATTTCTGTTTCCAAGGACTCTCAAGCTATGGAAATTACCAAACTTTGGCGGACATTTTCTTGCTAATTTCACCTCTGAAACCAGGCGACACTGACCTCCTTCATTCGCAAATTTTTAATTTTTGGCCTTCTGTTCAACATAGATGGACATTTTTTTTCACCAAAAGCAAGGCAAATGAACAGGCTTTAAGATAATACCAATAACCCAATATGCCCAGAATTTGAGGAGCGCCCGACTCTACAATGTCGCGCCACATATACACACAACTCTATAGGTTTTTGTTGTGTCTTATATACGAACATACAGTGGAGTCTGCTGAAACCAAACACGGTTAACATGAAAACAGCTGTGAACCAAAACAAAATAAACTTCCTGATATTTTTTTCTCTTCTTTGAGCAACTTTTCTAAACCGAAAACCCACCGAAACTGAAGATAATCCAGCAGCCCTGCAGATTTCAGTTTAAACGGATTCCACTGTATTTATCTATCATATTGCACGATCTGTAACTTTAACCTAGTAAAATCCAACTTTTGACGGGTTATTGTTGGGTGCTTTGTTGCGGTTTGCTCCTTTTTTTCTTATCAAACATCATTCGTCTTTATGTCTCCTTCCTTCCTTCCTTTGTGCGTTACTCTCTAATACTAACACCACTAATATTAAGCACTTATATTATGTTGCAAGTGCTGTAAAAACTTCTATAAGATTTCACAGTGACAAATTAGTTTTGTTATTATATTTTATACATAACAATCTGTAACTTTAACCTAACAAAACCTTTTTGAGAAAGCAAGTAATCAATTTATGTGTGCTTATGCATTCAGAATCTTCACCTCTATAGTGCAGGTCAAGGAAGAATTTCTGGTCCTGAGATCTATGCAGTTTGTTGCCATGCTGTCTCTGTTATTGTGTTTCACTATCTTTTGTTACTGTCATCATTATCACTGTTGCTATTATTTGTCTCTGTCATCATTTGTCACTGTCAATGTTATTATCGTGGGTGGTTGGCTGGTGCTCTGGTGTGGTTTGCTTCTTCTTTCCTATCGTATATCGTCTTTATCTCTCCTCCTTCTTTTTTATATTTGTTACTCTCTTGTAACACCTCTAATCTTTGGCACTTATATGACCTAATTGTGTTGCAAGTGCTGTAAAACACTTACTAAAACTAAACTGTCATTGTCATCATTTGTCTCTGCCGATGGCATCACTGTCTTTATCGTCATAATCACCGACATAATTTATTGTCCCCAGATGTTTAAAGAAACGGCAGAACAAGCTGACAGCTGGCTGGGGACGAAGGAGGCTTTCCTGGCCAACGAAGATGTTGGGGTGAGTCATGTGACCTTCTATACTTTTGTCTACATGTGGTTAATGTCGTATATTTAGTCAGATCACATAATGATTTGTGTGATATTTGATATGGTGAGTCAGATAGCATAGTGATTCGTGTGATATGGTGAGTCTGTTTTTTTGTGGTGAACTTCCCTCAGAATACTCTTGATAGTGTAGAGTGTAATGTTTACAATCGATCAAGAAAAATATAATTCACAGCTTATAGATTATTGTTGTGAATTTCCCCTCGGAACATATTTTAAAGTAAAACACCCCCCCCCCCCCTCCCCCGGGGCAGTGCCACTGGCTGAAGTGTCTTTAGGCCATTCCTAAATGGGGGTGACATTAACATGTTCTTTTGCACAATAGAATAGTAAATGGGCTGATTCATCAATGTCATGCTCATTACTGTGCCTGAACTGCAACGGGGAACTGCTGCTTTTTCTTGCCTAGTCCTGACTATTGTCATTTTTCCTCTACTTCTTTTGTATGTTTGTCACTCTTATGACCTGCTATTTCCGGAGTACCTTGATAGTCGAAGCAGACTTTGTACTATTAAAGCTAAAAAGGTGAGCAGAGTAAGCCTGATTCCCTGTATTGACTTCTCTGTTGACATCCACCCCTTGGCACTCGTATGACTGTATGCAGTTGTGAGCGCCGTAAAACCTCTACTAAAACAAAAAAAAAAAAATATGTTTTCAGTCCATCAAGAAAAACATGATTAATGCCCAACTTTTGTTGTGACCATCCTCCAGAACACACTTTACAGTGTGGAGAGCCTGATGAAGAAGCATGAGGGCTTCGAGAAGACCACACAGGCTCAAGAGGACCGCATTGAGGAGCTCAAACAGTTTGCGTCAGACCTGAGCGAGGATAGCCACTACGCCACCGACGAGATCAACTCCAGATGCCAGGCCGTGCTTACTCGCAGGAAGCGGGTCTGGGAGACTTCGGGAACTAGGAAGAAGACTCTGGAAGATTCCAGAAACTACCAGCTGTTCTTGAGGAATCTGTATGAGGTCAGTGGAGAGAGTTGTTACTGCGTGTTGGTTTAGTTTTCTTTATTCTTCCAGCGATTTTGAGACAAAATATAAAAAATGCAGCCTATTTCTTTGTGGCATACTGTAAATTTCAATGAATAGATTTTGAAACCTTGAGCTATTTAAAGCTACAGTTTAATGGGTGGTTGACGGGTACTCTGGTGTGGTTTATGTTAGTGGTAAGGAAAGAAGAAGAGAGGAAAGTGAAGTGAAGAAAGGGAGCAATAGATAAAAGCCTCTCTGAGCGGCTCTGGTGTCAAAACACAGGGAGACAATCAGCCGCTGTGAGAGATGCTGTGTGCTGATTCAGTTGATGTATTTATTATTTGTGTATCCATGTAATCATTGTAAAACAAATTTTAATGTCGTAAGAAGATTTTTTAAATGTGAAATTTATTTATTTATTTATTTATTTATTTATTTATTTATTTATTTATTCATTTATTTATTTATTCATTTATTTACTTATTTATTTATTTACTTATTTATTTATTTGTTATTTATTTATTGATATTATTTATTTATTTGTTTATTTATTTATTTGTTTATTTATTTATGTTTAAATTAATTAATTTTAAAAAAATGTTAATTATTTATTTATTTGTGGGTGGTTGGTGGTTACTCTGTTGTGGTTTGCTTCTTCTTTCCTATGAAACATGTATCGTCCTTATTTCCCCTTCTTCTTTTTATGTTTGTTACTCTCTTGTCACACCTCTAATCTTCTGGCGCTCATATGACCTTATGTAGTTGCGAGCGCCGTAAAACCTCTACTAAAAAAACATATTTATTTATTTATTTTTTTGTTTTATTTCTTTCTGTGTGTGTGTGCGGCCCAGGTGTCTGGCTGGATCAATGAGAAGCTGCAGGTGGCCTTGGATGAGTCGTACAGAGACCCCACGAACCTGCAGGCCAAGCTACAGAAGCACTCGGCCTTTGAGGCTGAACTGTCCGCTAACAGGAACAGGGTGGACTCCGTGGTGGAGGTAAGGAGGATAATTAATGTTGTGTGGGGGGTTAATGGGATGTTGTTTGGGGGGGTTAATGGGATGTTGTTTGGGGGGTTAATGGGATGTTGTTTAGGGGTTAATGGGATGTTGTTTAGGGGTTAATGGGATGTTGTTTAGGGGTTAATGGGATGTTGTTTAGGGGTTAATGGGATGTTGTTTAGGGGTTAATGGGATGTTGTTTTGGGGTTAATGGGATGTTGTTTGAACAGCTGTGTGATATGTGTATTTTTTCCCTCTCTCTCTTTTTCTTTCTCTCTTACTTACTGTCTCTCTTTTGCTCTCTCTCTCTCTGTCTTGTTCTCTCTCACTCTCTCACTATTGTTCTCTCTTTCGCTCACCCTCACTCTCTTTCTCTCTCTCTCTCACTTTTTCTCTCTTTCACTCTCTCTCTCTCTTTCTTGTTCTCTCTCTCTCTCTCTCCCTCTCTCTCTCTCTCACACACACACACACACTCTTGTTCTCTCTCTTGCTCTCTCTTTCTCTCTCTTTCTCTCACTCTTGCTCTCTCTCTCTCCCTTTTTTTTCATTCTGTATTGTGCTCTCTCTCACCCTCTCTCCTCTCTCTCTCTCTGTGCCTTGTTCTCTCTCTCATTCTTTCACTCTCTCCCTCTCTCCCTCTCTCCCTCCTTCTCTCTCTCCCTTTCTATCTCTCTCTCTCTCTCACACACACACACACTCACACACACACACACACACACACAACATACAACACACACAACACACACATACAAACACAACAAGTACGCATGCACATTTACACTCAGACTTGCATTGCACACCGTAACATCTCTAACATGTATTTACCATATGTCTATGTGCAGGAGGGCCAAGGCCTTGTAAACCAGAGACATTACGCGTCCGCTGACATCCGCAAGAAGCTGGAGGAACTAGAGCTCCAGTGGCAGGCACTCATCGCGTCCAGCGCCGAGAAGAAAGACCGACTGCAGGATGCCCACCAGGCCATGCTCTTTAACAGGTGCTTGACCATTGTCCAGTGTCAGCTGGTGCAAAACTTTCTTGCTTTTGTGAGAGGTATAGCTTAAAGTCTCATCACTGTACGAGTAAATTTCAAAATTTCGAGCTCATTTTCAGCATACTTTGGTTTCATTGGTTTCATTCTGAGAGCAGCGGAAACTTTTCTTTGAGGTCAGATGAGGCTGTGGGCGGTTGGAGGGTGTCACTGGTGGATCTTACTTCTTTTCATTTCCTTTAATGTTTCTGTCTGTCTGTCTATCTAACTCTTTCCGTGCAGTAAATGACTGTGTGGGTGGTTGGCGGGTGCTCTGATGTGGTTTCTTTCTTCTTTCCTATCAAACATCTATCATCCTTATCTTCCCTCCTTCTTTTTTATGTTTGTTACTCTCTTGTAACACCTCTAATCTTCGGCACTTATATGACCTTATTGTGTTGAAAGTGCCGTAAAACTCTTACTAAAACTAAACTAAAGCTATCATTAAACTACATCTGTGGGTGATTGGCGGGTGCTCTGGTGTGGTTTGCTCCTTCTTTTCTATCGTCTCTATCTCCCCTCCTTCTTTTTTATGTTTGTTACTCCTTTGTAACACCTCTATTCTTCGGCACTTATATGACCTTATGCAGTTGCGAGCGCCATAAAAACCTCTACTAAAACTTTAAAAAAACAAAAAAACAAAAAAACAACTGACATGCCAAAGTAAAACTCTTACTAAAACTAAACTAAAGCTATCATTAAACTCTCACAACTGACCTTTCATAATGTGCCGTGTCCCCAGAGTGGTCACTGACCTGGTGGTATGGATGGACGAGGTGGAGAACCAGCTGATGTCGGAGGACCATGGCAAGGATCTCAGCTCTGTCAACTCTCTGCTCAACAAACACCAGGTGAACACAACAGGAGGGAAAATACTTGTCCTACATTTTGTTGGAAAAAAATCCCATTCCTCTAATTAAACTTTCTTCCATCCTTGTGTGGTTGGCTTCTTCTTTCCTATCAAACATTCATCGTCCTTATCCCCCCTCCTTCTTTTTTATGTTGTTACTCTCTTGTAACACCTCTAAAATTGTCTCCTTTCACCTCCTTTCCTGCTCTCTAGCAATTTTCTGTTGTCTGCTTTCATTTCCACTTTCTGCCCCCACCCCCTCACCTCCTTTGCCCCCTCCTCTGGGCTCCTGACTCTTTTTACAGCCTTTCTACTGTTACTCCTTGGCTCCTCCTCACTGCTGTCTTTCAGCCACACCCCTGATATTCTGGTAGGAAAGATCTACACCTAGCCTTCTCGGACAAGGGCGAAAAATCTCGGAGGGCCCGTGTGCAAGTTGGTGGTCTAAAATCGATAAGAGTAGGCTTCGGCCGCCACCCGGGCAAAATTCAAAATTTCCTACCAACTGAAAAATATTAGGTGTGTCCCGCGCGCTCATATGACCTTATGCAGTTGCGAGCGCCGTAAAACACTTTACAAAAACAAACAAAAAACAAAATCTAATCTTCTGACGCTCATATGACCTTATGCAGTTGCGAGTGCCGTAAAACCTCTACTAAAACAAATTCCATCCTACATGCTATTATATGAATGGTTTATTTGTACTGTCATCTTCACCCTATCGTATGTGTGATTCAGCTACTAGTACTTACATTTACACCCTACTTTTTATAAACCAGCAACTTGAGCAAGACCAATAATTACTTTTCATACCCATGGTCCCAGCTACTTAAACAAAACCTGTAATATATATTGTTATGATGATAATGGTAATAATAATGATAATAATAGCAGTAATAATAATAATAATAATAATAATTGGTTCGTCAATGTCTGACAATGACATACATTATAGATATATCTATGTTCCCATCAGCTTGGACCCCCCGGGGTGGTGCCACTGACTGTATTGTCTTTAGGCCATTCCCAAAGGGGGGACATTTCTCGTTCTAATGCACAGTCGAATTGTAAATGGGCTGATTCAACAATGTCATGCTCATAACTGTGCTTGAACTACAACACAGAACTGCTGCTTTATCTTTCCTAATCCTTACTATCGTCATTTTCCTCTACTTCTTTCGTATGTTTGTCACACTCTTGTGACACGCTATTTCCGGAGTCCTTGATAGTCGAAGCAGATTTTGTGCTGTTGAAGCTAGAGAGGTGAGCAGAGTATGTCTGATTCCCTGTAAGGACTTCTCTGTTGACATCCGCCCCTTGGCGCTCATATGACCTTATGCAGTTGCGAGCGCCGTAAAACCTTACTAAAACAAAAACATCGGCTTGAGCAAGGCCAATTATAATATATTGTATACTTACATGTACAATCATTTTGATTCATTCAAATGTCATTCAAATGTCAGCTGAAGTCGTCTCTGTTTTTGAATTAATAAGATGAATATTTGGAATGATTTTCTTTAGTCAGAACACAACGTTTCATGTTACTGTTGTACATTGTACTGTACTGTAAAGCGCTCAGAGCCTGTGTACTTTATTCGCGGTTGAGCGCTATATAAATGCCATTTATTATTTATTATTATTATTTGTGCCCCCCAGCAACTTGAGCAAGACATGGGCTCCCACAAGGAGAAAGTGACGGATGTAATGGACGCGGCACAGGTGTTCAAGGAGGCTAAACACTTCATGAACAAAGACCTGCAGGCCAGCGCCAGGGAAATCTCAGAGAGGTCAGACCAGTTTGTGTATTTGTTTGTTCGTTCTTTTTGTTTCTTTGTTTGTTGAGGAAGAATTAGAAGTAAATGGAAAGTGGGTTCTTGATACAGTAAAAAAAAAAAAGAAAAGAAAAATAAAGCTGTCTCCCTTCTATGTTATCTAAATTGTGTGGAGAGAGAGAGAGAGAGAGAGAGAGAGAGAGAGAGAGAGAGAGAGAGAGAGACAGAGACAGAGACAGAGACAGAGACAGAGAGAGACAGAGAGAGAGAGAGACAGAGAGAGAGAGAAAGAGAGAGAGAGTGGGGGGGCGAGATGCAGAGAGAGAGAAGGGTACGGAGAGTGATGGAGGGGAGAAGAGAGACAGAGGAAGAGAGAGTGAGAGAGAGAGAGAGAGAGAGACAGAGACACAGAGAGAGAGAGACAGAGAGAGAGAGAAAGATAGAGAGAGAGAGGGGGGGGGCGAGATGCAGAGAGAGAGAAGGGTACGGAGAGTGATGGAGGGGAGAAGAGAGACAGAGGAAGAGAGAGTGAGAGAGAGAGAGAGAAAGAGGGCGAGTATGGAGAGAGACGTTTGGACTTCTCTGTTGACATCCACCCCTTGGCGCTCATATGACCTTATGCAGTTACGAGTGCTGTAAAACTTTACTAAAGTGGGTGGTTGGCGGGTGCTTTGATGTGGTTTGCTTCTTCTTTCCTATCAAATATTTATCATCCTTATCTCCCCTCCTTCTTTTTTACTCTCCTGTAACTCCTCTAATCTTCTGACGATCATATGACCTTATACAGTTGCGAGCACAGTAAAACCTCTACTAAAACTAACTGAGTAAGCCTGATACCCTGTTTGGACTTCTCTGTTGACATCCACCCCTTGGCGCTCACATGACCTTGTGCAGTTGCGAGTGCCGTAAAACCTTACTATCGGGCACTTTTATGACCTTATTGTGTTGCAAGTGCCGTAAAACTCTTAACTCTGACAAGAAAAAGCTCACTAAAACTCAGCACCTTGTCCTGTACAGATACAACTCTTTGTATGACCCCTGCCACACCCGCAAAGAGAACCTGGAGGAGGCCCGCAGGATGTACCAGTTTTTCCGCGACGTCGAGGATGAGCTGTCGTGGATCCAGGACCGACGCCCACTGGCCGAGACCCAGGACCTGGGTAACTCTCTGTCGGCCGTGCAGAACCTCATGAAGAAACACCAGGTAGGTTCGCGGGGATGTTACATGGTTGTTTCGATGCAAGATCGGTGCTAAATGATTTTGACAATGACAGTGACGATGACAATGACAATCTTTATTCATCTTGCTGGGAGAACTTTGTCTTGGTCGTCAACAATGGCAGTACGTAGACGTTACAAAGGTTAAGGGCACATTTGACCATGACAATGGAAATGACAATCTTTATTCATCTTGCAGGGAGAAATATGTCTTGGTCGTTAACAATGGCAGTAGACATTACAAACGTTAGGTGCACTCATGCATATGCGAAACAAGACAGGACATTAGTAAATATATGTCTCACGTGCTAGGACAATCGGCTCCGTAAAACATTCTGTCTTTCTTTCTTTCTTTCTCTCTCTCTCTCTCTCTCTCTCTCTCTCTCTCTCTCTCTCTCTCTCTCTCATTGGTTAAAAAAAATCTCTGCTACGTTTATCTTTCTTTCATAACTTTCTGCAATGTTAAAGGTCTGTCAGATTATGTGGTATAGCTCGTCCTACATAAAAATGTCATGGTTTTTTTTTAAAGATATCTGTTGACTTCCAGCGCCTAATTTAATCAAAGTTTTACCAGAATCCTCTATGAGTTTGTCCTAATTACATATGTGAGGCAGCGTGGTGGAATCAGGCTCTCGTCAATTTTTGGGCATGTAGAGTTATTGGTATCATCTTAAAGCTTATTTACTTGTCTTTATTTGGATGAAAAAAATATCCATTTATCTTGAATACAAATTTGGGAAAAAAGGAGGTGGGGGTCATTTGTTTTCAGGGGTAAAATTAATGAGAAAATGGCCGCCAAAGATTAGTTATTTCCTTAGCTTAAGAGTCCGTGGTTACTGAAAATTTACATTTTTTGTGCCTTTAATCAACGTTTTAAAGAAAATCCACACAGAAATCAGTTCTTTAATGGGCATGAAAGGTGTTGAGCCTAAAAACAAAAATTTTATTAAAATTCACAAACCTGCGGAAAAATTCAAGTTTCTTCATTTTTATTATTTTGACGAGAGCCTGATTCCACCACGCTGCCTCACATATGCGTAAATGCACGTTCATATGACCTTATGCAATTGCAAAGGCCGTAAAACTCTTACTAAATTAAATTAAACATATAAATAGATTCTCCGCCTCATTCTGAGATTTGTCTTTTTGTTCCTAACACAAAGGATTACTTGGAGGATCTTCAAGAGGCAAACTGCATTAGCAATTTAGATGAAATAGAGATTATTGAGGAGTTGAGCGATGATGATGATGATGATGATGATGATGATGATGATGATGATGATGATGATGATGGTCTTGAAGAAAATGAGACGGAGGAAAGCGAAGATGAAGAAGAGGTTTGAGAGTGTTGGTGGTCACCCAGTTATTTGGTTGTGCTTTATTTTCTTCACCTATTGTTGCAGCACGACCTGTATTATTTTGCAAAGTTGCATGAATGAATGTACAGCTATCTTTGACTCGTTCAACGTTCCCATTGTGGGAATGTTGGTGAGCAACTTGCTGGATATCTTAAGTGTGCTGGTATTTTTAATTTGATAATTCTCACTTTCGGAGCTTCTCATCTTACACTGCAACCCTAATGAACAACTTGGTCAATGTCCGAGTATGTGGCCCGTTTAGGTTTTTTTTGGTTGTAATTCTCATTTCTGTCACAGCACATATTGTTTAATAGTGAACACCGTAAAAGTCTTCTGAGTGTGTTCACGTGTCACTCTTTATTCATTTTTAAAAAATTATTATTTTTTTTTTGGGGGGGGGGGGGGTTGTGCTTTGTTTTGTTATGGTTTGCTTTGACGGTCATTTGATGGGGATGGGCTGGTGGATGGTTGGAGGGTGCAACTGTTGTTAAGTCATTTTAGTTCTTCTCTTTTCATCTGTAGTTTCTGTATGTCTGTCTTTCTAGCTTTTCCCCCAGCACAAAATGACAGGAACTGTATTGGTTTGCTTCTCTTTTTAAAAAAATGAACGAACAAACAAGAGGAGGGAGTGAGTTGAGTGTTTGTGAATACGAACAAGCTTTCCTCTTTGTGTGTCCTTGTACATATTCTTTTACTTTACGTCTGCAAACATACTTACATAGGGGTAATAGTTAGTCTTTTCACTGTGACATGCAGGAGGCACGAGTTTGATTCCTGAGCATGGGGAAATATCATTTGTCAAATCTTATGCTGTTGTGAGTGCCGCCAAACTCTCACTAAAACAAAAAGTATTTGTCTAATAGGCTATATCCTTTTTTTTTATCAAGGATATTGTATCCCTCTCATCCAAGGCTAGCCCTGACAGACAGATTCTAAGTATCTCACACCCTGACAGTGGGTAGTTGGCGGGTGCTCTGGTGTGGTTTGCTCCTTCTTTCCTATCAAACATCTATCATCCTTATCTCCTCTCCTTCTTTTTTGTGTTTGTTACTCTCTTGTAACTCCTCTAATCTTCGGCACTTATATGACCTAATTGTGTTGCAAGTGCCGTAAAACTCTTACTAAAACTAAAACACCCTGATGAGTGTGAATTGTGTTTATGATGGGGGTGTCATTTACAATCATTTTGAGAGGGAATTTTTTTGTCAGTTTTGTTGTTGTTGTTTTTGTCGTTGTTAGTCACCTCAGTATGGAATGTTGAGTTGCTGATGTTCACCTCACTTTAGCAATTTCAGGTCAACGTCGTTCACTGAAATTTTGGTCACATATTTGAATCTCCTCATCATAGAAGTCATCTCTGAATTATCTTTTACACAAACTTTATAAGTTTTGACATTAACGTGATAAGTCTTTACATTAAAATATAAAGTTAATAAATATGTTGATAAATAGAGAAAACAAACAACCTGTTCACACCCTACAGATCCTGTTTCTCTATATGGCAATCCACAATCCACGGAGCATGTTAAATTCCTAGTTTCTCTATGGCAATAAAAAGTAAGTGAGACACCCACAATCCACTGAGCACGTTAAATTCCAACATTTAAGAATGATAATACATTTAGAGACTACAAAGCTGTCACGTCCAGTTATAATAAGAACCCCTTTCCCTCCCAACCAACCCTTAAATCAGTCGTCCAAATCTTTCTATGCCTCCGGCAGTTGTTAGGCTCTCTTTTGAGGTTTACATCCAACATTTATGATTAATCAGTCTGTCAGTCAATGTTCTTATCCATTTCTCTCCCCCCCC